CAGTAGACCAGATTTATCATATGCCACATCTTACTTAAGCAGATATCTGGACAAACTTACAGATCAAGCATGTAAAGCTGGTAAAAGAGTGTTACGGTATCACAGTGGGACTAAAAACTTGGGACTCGAATATAGACAAGGTGAAAACAAATTAGAAGGATTTAGTGATGCAAATTGGGCCGGTGATAAACAGACTCGAAAAAGTATTAGTGGATTCGTCGGGTTTTATGCGGGACATCCAGTGTCGTGTCATTCGAAAAAACAGAATTGTGTCGCGTTATCGTCAACGGAAGCAGAGTATATCTCAGCAGGTGTTTGATTTTATTCCCATAAAACTGTTAACCTTTATTTTACCTCGATTATACATATATTTACCCTCTATTTTAATTCTATTTTATCTCTATTTATTCTCTATTTTTTTTGTGTGTCATCGGCTTCATCTGCTAAGGTTATTTCGCCTCGTGTTCTGTGTAGGCTTTGTTACTGTTTCCCAGCGCCACTTTAGGAACAGCACTGTTAATTAGAACCCAACAGTGAATGGTCGAGTGGTTATTCTCTATTTTATTTCTTGTTTATCTATTTTATCTCTATTTTATCTTCATTTTATTTCTATTTTATCTCCATTTTATCTCTATTTTATCTCTATTTTATCTCTATTTTATCTCTATTTTATCTCTATTTTATCTCTATTTTATCTCTATTTTATCTCTATTTTATCTCTATTTTATCTCTATTTTATCTCTATTTTATCTCTATTTTATCTCTATTTTATCTCTATTTTATCTCTATTTTATCTCTATTTTATCTCTATTTTAACCAACTTTCTATGTTACCATTTAAGAAATAGCAATACTGTCCCTATGAAATAGTGGGGACCCCGTAAAATAAATTTAGAAACAAATAACATAGAACTCTAAGTTGGATGACATGGTTTTATTGAACAAAACTACGGCTACAGGAAAGTATAAGGTTTATTCTATGATATAAGAGTGTATCATTTTATTTAGTCTAAAACGATACTTTGTAAGTAAATAAGGTTACTATGTAAGAAAAAAATAGACTTTGTAAGTAAATAAGGTTACCATGTAAGAAAAAAATAGACTTTGTAAGTAAGACAACACTTTGTAAGAATAAAAATGTGCAATTTTGTTAGCCCTTTTTCTTGATTTATTTTCTATTGAGCGGGAATGAAGATTGAGTATACTGGGTGTTCCGAGGGATTGGAACAAGATTATGTATACTGTTTCATCCTGACTCCAGAAGAACAGTATGTAATATATTGCTATTGAATAGAGAAAAATAGGCCAACGGACCACAATATAAATGCAATATCCCATTCTTGTCATTAAAAGGGCGTGGTTAAACCAATTACTCCCTTGATTCCTTTCAATTACGTCCAAATATAACTAAGCGTCTCATATTTATTTTGCTAGACGAATCGATTAACGTACTGCATAATAAATATCCAAGCAAATGACATAGAACTCTAAGATGGTTGACCTATGGTTTTACTGAAGAAGCTACGACTATAGGAAGGTGTAAGGTCTATTTCATGATATATAATTTTATTTGGTCTAAAAAGACACTTTGTAAGAAAAAAGATACCTTATAAGAAAAAAATACTTTATAAGTAAAAGAATACTTTGTAAAAAATAAGACACCCATTTTGTCAGGTGTCGTTTTTACACACGGATTTTTCAAGTTTTGGAAAACAACGAAAACAAATAATAAAATAACCAAAATTGAAATAAAAAATAGAAATAGCGCGATATTTTGACTATTTTATAATTTGTTTTAAAAATATTGCGCGTACCTTCAATACTAACCACGGTGTCGACTTTAATCGGTAAAAGTCAATGTAAACGTGAAAAAAGTTGTTGTCAGGAAGTGGAGGAAGTATATGGGGTTGCCCCAAGGGGACAGACATGATACTTTATGCAAATTTATCTTCAGGGACTTTTAACAAATCATGCGATTATTTTAAATACTTATTCCTTTTTAAGAATACTTATTACCTGTTGATTTATCATTGCACGGTTAAAATGAATAATAAATTTAAATATAATATTATAATTTTAAATACATGTTCATTAAATAAAGCGAAAATTTCTACAAAAAATCTGGATCTACATTGAAATAAAATATTATTTATGTATTGGAATTTAATTTACTGAAACCAAATTTCAGTCTTTAAAAAATATATACCTTAGCAGACTTTAAACGTGTTTGATTAAACAATATCGAATGACTGGCTTAAATGAAATTACAAGGACCGAAAATAAAATAACCCTAGATCAATCAGTTTATCTAAAAAATGTATTGAACATTTTTTCTAACTGTAATCCAATTAAAACACCATTGCCAACAAAACTAATTTACACTGCCTTTAATTCTAATGAATTTTATGTTGCACCTTGTAAAAATTTAATGGAAAATTTATTTTAATGTATGCAATGTTATTTACACGACCTGATATTTGAGCTGCAATTAATATTTTAAGCAGATATCAGAGTAAAAATAACAAAGAACCATAGGTATGTTTAAAACATTTACTGAAATATTTCAAAGGCACAGACAACGATTTAAGACTTGCTTATAAAAGAGGTAAATATAAACATATACTTATTAGTTACGCTGATTCTGATTGGAGAAGTGATGAAACAGAAAAGGTACAACAGGTTATTTATCAAAACTTTGAAAATTGTCTTGGAATACAAGAAAACAAAATTCTGTAGCTGCTTCCTTAACAGAAGCCGAATAATGGCCTTATTTGAAGCTGTTAGGCTGAAAGTTTATTAAATAGCATTTATTTTAAAACATTGGGCCAATAAACATTTATGAAGATAACGATGGCTGTATAAGAGTTGCAAATAATTCTAGCAATCACAAAAAATGTACACATATATTAGTAAAAAGGTAATAATTCTAAAATACATTTCCAAAGGTAATATATGTACAATATGTTATAATATTTTAATATTTATACAAGTTGTGTATATCTACAGTTCCCATAATTTAATTTATATACAATGGTTCAATTTTTAAGAGCGGATGTTGGAATTGTATATCAAAATTATATTCCTGTATATCAATACTTATTTCTTTTGAAACAAAAATTGAATGTTATCATTCATGAACTGACAATGTTACTAAGAATTTAGTCATAGGTATTACTTAAGGGTATCCTCTCACCGACACATAGTTTTTGAGGGGTTTCGGTGCGAAAGACGAGGTATTGACAAAACTCGTTGGATGAGGCAATTTATTTACGGCTGCAATGATATACAGACCCAGACTCTTGATACACATTTTTATTCTTCGAGATTCCAATAGTTTCAGGAAGAGAAAACATCGAACTGTGCACTCGAAGATATACATTTAAAAAAAATTGTACAATGTGGGGAATGACCTTGCGGATTCAAATCCGGAGGGCTCCAATAAATTTGTAATTGCAAAAAAGAATAAAAAAATATTTTCCGATTATTTTGAATTGTCGTAAAAATCCTATTTTTTGTGTTTAACTCGCGATTGTGACGCTATTTTCCAATATTTTTTCAAAATTCTTGTACCAGTCGAAAGCTTAATCATTTTAGATTTTAACAGTATGTCCAAAAAATTAATATTTTTTATATTCGATTTGTCAAATTATTTAAAGAGAGATGCGGTACCAAAACTGAGGTGACAATTTCATCATCAAGAAAAATTTTAAACGGATGAAGACAGATTTAATCGACCGAAAAATGTGCCCAAATGAGTGGAAAAGTTTTTGGTGAAAAGTAATTTTCAACAGTGGTAACGGTTTCCGATTTATAATTTTTTTTTTGTGAAACTCCGATGCACCTAGCCCCAACCGCATCTACTCCTCGCTTGCATCGCGGCCTGTCGTACGTGTATAACATCGTATTTGTTTTATATAACTTAATAACATACAGGCAGAATTTTATAATAAAAAGCATTTATGATTGGAATGGTATGATTATTTGATTCATACATTTATTTTTATTTGTACACAAACAACTTTTAGAAAAATAAGAAACAAATATACATCTAAAGTTCCTGGAAATGAATTTAGGAAAACTGGAGAAATCTCCAAACGGCGTATTATTAGAGTGTTCTCTAGTTTTCCTGGATTCATTTCCAGGAACTTTAGCTGGTAAAACCTAGTTTAGGTATGATAGTTAAATGTTTATTTACAATATAAATTACAATATTTTTTTAATAGTTTCTATTTTCACAAAATAAAATAGGTAGGTATAAACAGGGTGTCCCAAAATTGCTGGGATATAGAGCTACCACGTATTCAAGAGGTAAACATTTTCTTGTTTTTAAAAAGTTATAATCCCTAAACCATATGTATACAATTAAATTTTTTTTTGCCTTTTTTGCTTCAATAATGTAGGGCGGGTTTTGGATGTCTATATTTCTACCCTTTCTGGGGTCGACGATTTCGGGAAGTAAACACTCCATGTAAAACTGAACCAACTTTTCTTCCATGACGTTTTGCCAAAATTGGTCATCTCGAAATATTGTGGCAGTTTTTATTCCATGAAGTGTCCAACAAGCCAATATGCAATATGATCTGCCCGTTATATGTAGTTGCCCCCGAATTTTATGGAATCATTTATGTTTTTTATTAATCCATCCGGAAAAAATATTGTAATTTTCTTAGTATTTATGGCTTCAGAGGGTGTCATATCTTTAGCCGAATATGGACACTTTATTTCTACAATTCCCCTTTCTCCTACCAAGACGTCAGGTGTGGCAGCCAAAAATGGTAATATTTTGTCAATAAATAAACCAGCAGGTTCAATATTTATGCTTCTTGTTTCTTAGCTTTCCCCCATACAGTAGCTGCTGAAAAAATTGTTTAGGATACAGAATCTTTGTGACTAATGCTTTGCAACTTATTGATTTCCGTCTATTGCACACTTTCCCAAAATTCGTCTTTTTTTCCTTTCGATATACCATAAATCGTTGTCGCTTTGGCCAATTGTTTCTTGCTAAAGAAATTCGATTTCTTCATTACTCTTTTTTAAAGTATCTAAAAACTCATTTGTTTCTTTTATTAAATCTTCTTCGGGAAGATCTGGCTTCTGGCAAAATTGGCCATAGCTTTCGTCGTTATCAGTCTTATTTATTTTTTGTATTCGCTTTTTCTTTCTGATTATTTTCCTTAATTTTTTAAATTCGAAGGTCTTGCCGAACTTGCCAACTTTTCGTCCAAGGCAAGTTCTCAGGGTATAAAGAGGCATTCTTGTATTTTTGTTCACCACGGCAGCAAAACATCTTGCTCGATAAGACCTTCTGTGACCATAGTAGATCCTTTTGCTCCCAATAAATTTTGTAATAATTGCATTAACGGATTCTACTAAATTATTGTCCAAATCATATATTAGACTAGTTGCATGTTAACTAAGTAATGTTTATAAGAATTTAGGTTTTCATATAAATCAGTTAATTTTAAGTCACTAAGTACTGTCCCTGTAGGTTTATATTCTTCTTTACAACAATATCTAAGTTTTTGGAATTCTTTGTGTTCACTAAACACATGACTAATTGAGTTATTTACATCTTTTTATAATAATTTTACTTTTTCGTCAAACGGTTGATTTTCCTTTTTTCTATGAGCAATTGCTTTCGATATAGCAAATCTAAGCCTTAATTCATTGCGCTGCCGAAGAACTAGTGGTCCAGCATTTTTACCTTTTGTTAAATCTCTTAATTTTCTTGAGTAATTTCTTAGTAAATGATTTTTGCATTCTATTTTTTTAACTACAATATTATTATATGGATGGGTATCTAATATTTTTTGATAGCAATTGCTGTCTCTGTCAGCAATTAACTTTTCGAAAATTATTCCATATAGTTCCAGACTTTTAGAAAATTCTTCGGCAATTCTATCAGCTTCCATGCTGGATGCTGATCCAGACAATTTTTTATAACATTTATGTTCAGTGGGAGAACGTTTTTTTATTGTCAGCTATCTTGCAAACCATACAAAATTTATTTCGAACTCCAATATATAGAACCCACCTCAGCTCATCATACACGTGTAGTGATGGAGCACTACTCGAATGTAACAAGTCACCTACCGGACTTGTAACTAAAAATACCATTCTTCTATGGTACCTGTTGAGTAAGGTGGGCCAAAAAATTTTGTTTTCAAATTTTCATAAGCGCTACCAAAGAAAAGTTGTGTATTAGGGAAATAAAAAATGTTGTTGACTAATTTTAACCGGGCCCATCGGCCCTCAAAAAGGGCATAAAAATTATTATTTAAATTTGACGGCGCTAGTAAATAAACTCTTCGTTATTGTCCCAATGATTCAAAAAAAAATATAAATTAAAAACAAAATATTTTTAACTCGGCCCAGGGTCCATAACTTACGCTTTAATGTAGAAAATTTCAAATTTATTTTTTGACTAGCCCTCGAATATGAAGACTATACTTCGACGGGGAAAAGGACCAAACAATTTGTATTAAAAACAGCAAAAAGATAACCCAACAAGAAGAACACATTACAATTATTAAAGAACCTGGCAATATTTCCTTTTCCCATGTATCTATAAAGGGCTCTGCTATCGCAGCAAATATAAAGGATGAACTTCTTCAATGCTTCAACAAGTATCATACAGATATCAGTGATTTAACCGTGATAGGTTGTAAAGCTACAAATGTAAATACTGGGTGGAAGGGAGGTATCATTCGATTAATTGAAAATCACATTAAAAGGCCCCTTCAAAGGACCTTACAGCTTTTTGGGACCAATTGGGGCTCTTTTAAAACACTGTCAAGACATGCCAATTGTAGAGTTTAAACCAATAAAGACATCTCTTCCTCAACTCCAACCAGACGACTTAAGTACAGATCAGCAGTATCTATATGAGATTTGCATAAGCATTCAAAATGAAACCATTGCTCTCAATTTGGCAAAGAGAGATCCAGGAAAGATGTCACATGCCCCGTGGCTTACAACAGCCAACAGAATGCTACGCCTTTATATCGCTACTAAAAATCCATCTCCCACTCAAGTTATTTTAACCAAATTTATTTAAAAGGTCTACGCACCTGTTTGGTTCGCAATTAAAACAATACCATATATTTGCGATGGAGCGAGACACCTGTGGAAAGCTATTAATGCTTCAAGAGGATTCCTAGATAACGTTAAACAGATAACATTAAACATATAACTAACAAAGTCTTTGCCGACAATGCATATTTTGCCCACCCTGAGAACCTACTTTTCGCAATGCTAAGCGACCCACGTCCATACATTAGATAATTAGCTGCAAGAAGAATTAAAAAATGTAGAATGCAAACTAATAAAATGGTCAGAGTTTTTAGGGTACTTTTTTTAAATTTGGATACTGACGATTATATAGACTTGATAGATTGGCAGAAAACTAGGATTACCGAACCGCCATTAACATTTAATATAACAAATTAAACGTTAGATAATATTGTGGCAGGAAAGGAAGCCCTAAATTTTGAAAAATGTCCATGTCACATACAAGCGGTGGAACGCTGTGTAAAATTAGTAACTGAAGCTTCTACTAAGGTTTGCGGTGAGTCGTCCAGAGATGGATATATTAGATTAAAATTAGACGAAAAATTTTACCAGCATTTAATAACAAATCGCAATATTTTGAAAAGCGAAATGAAACATAAATTGCCATAATAAAAGGGCGGAAGGGTCCCCAAATGGGAGGAACTCTAGGTGCAAATACCTCCGCGTGATAAGTTCTGGATTGATTTAGCGATATATAATTCCACTCTTAATTATAAATCATTAAGTCAAGCGAAAAGTTGCAAAAAAGTTAAAGAAAAATATATTTCTGTTAATGTCCGCCTGCGGTAGGGCCCGTGGGGATAGTTAAAAATGATACATTTTGGTCCAGTTTTTTTTTACAGTATTGAAAAGCCTTAAGTAAACTTTTTTTAAGTAGCGCCACAAAATTAAAAAAAAAAAATTGGACTATAAAAGGGCCCGTGGGCCCGGTTAAAATTTATTAAATAACTCCAATTTTTTTAAGAATACCTCAAGACATCATAAGATAACTTTTTCAGAGTGGCGCGTTTATTAAAAAAAAAAGAAAAAAAAATAGGCCTGTTTCGACCCACCTTACTGTTGAGCATCTATAATTTTACCATCTCGATGGATCCCAACGTTTTTATTCTCTACAAATTATTAATTTTAGTAACCCCATCAAGCGTAATGAAGTAGGTACTGTTAGTCAAATTTAAAAATAAATAAGTTTGTTACAATTTTTTTGGGAGACCCTGTAAATTAAAGAATATTTTAAAATTTTAGATCTGTCATTAAAATAGATCTCATATAAATAGTATTATTCTATTCCACTAAAATAATCATATCTATTTAAAAATATAATCTGTTTTTCATTTCATTTTTGTCCTAATAATCCTGAATACGTCCAACTTATTCTCCGCACATAAATAGTTGAAGAACATCCGTTTTGAATGCTGTCGCCACGTCCCGATATCATATTTTGCATGAAAATCCCACTTGCAGAGGGTCAGGATCCAAGCGATCACGTTTACAAATTTAAATATAAAATTATTTTTTTTACCTTTGGATTAAGGAAGCATTAATCTACGCTCCTATAAAATTATAATTTGGAAAATATTTTTTTTTAATTCGTAGCAAGTACGCACCCCATTATCAACATAACATAACGCAATTCGCAACAAATTGTGGACTAGGTTTGAGATTTAATAACTTTTTCAAAAAATAACTAAATAAAAACTAATTCTATAGGAGCATATATTAAGGTTTTCTTAACATTTGTTAAAAAAATGAATATTTAATTTTGTTAAATAAAAAGGTGAGAATTTATATCCCAAAGCCTTGCAAACGCGTACAAATCTCATAGTCCAGTAAACGAAGATATCAACCTGGGCGACTGGTCCGGTCGCAACCATTTTTTTTTTAATTTGCAGGTATTCAGGTGTATATTGAATTCCCGAAATCGCAGCCACTTTGAATTTGTGGAACAGTGGGAAAATGGCTCTGGAGTTCCTGAAAATCCGTTTTTCGACGATATCTGCCGTTTATCTGCCGAAACATGACCCTTAGGGCATTTTTGTTCGGACAAAAAATGAAGAGCAGTTCAAAACCCACAAAAATGATCCTTATCATTTTTGTCAACAGTTTGATAGTTTTCGAGATAATTAACCCTGAACGCAACCTCCATTTTTAGCTCCTGCGCGGCATCTAGAGAACACGCTTTGAGTGAATGACGCCCCCAGAAAATTACAAAAACTGGCTAGCTTGCCCCCCACCCAGGAAGCTGCAAGGCAGCACCTTTATCGGGTGTATTTACAAGTGCAGCATTGGCTCGGGAACGAACTACCCCCAGAAGAGTGGGGGTGGAAACGTGCAGGGGATGTACTAGCACCGGTCCACACGACTGACCAGCCAGCGCATCCGGATCTGCTGAAAATGATTTCCTGTCAGTGCAAGAATGGCTGTAAGCCTCCATGTTCATGTCTAAAAGCGGGGCTAAAGTGCTCGATTATTTGTGGTTCATGTCATTCAGGCCCATGTACAAACTATAAAGATATGCTATGCGAACAAGAAGAGGTGGAAGAGATAATTCCAGGGGAAGGGCAGGAGGCAGTAGTTGAAGAGATAAGTCCAGGGGAAGGGCAGGAGGCAGTGGTGGAAGAGGAAGGAATAGAGCGAGGGGATAGAATTGTTAATGTAATACAACAAGAGGCAACTGATGTTGCCAACCAGCAAGATATATGCGAGGAAGAGGTGAGCGATTGGTGATTAACTGAGATATAATTCTCCATATATGTTTAATTATTCATATATTTTCATAATAAATGTTCATAATAAATGGTATTTTCAAAAACTTGTGAATTATAAATTATTGCAAAAAATTATTGCGAAAAATTTCGAAAATTCCGACAAATAGTTCAATTCCTTGTCGAGGATCATTCCGAATGTTTCAATCTCTCCATAAATTAGTAAACCCTGGAGACTCGTAGATTTCACCACATGATAAAATTTATACCCAACATTAGCCTCTATTTTCGGTCCCATTCGCATGTAATCATTCTCAGAATTTGGCTACCCAATCAAAGTAGGCCAAAGGCTCACTTTTAGGGACAGTAATAACAGTTATGATCCCGAGAGTTATTAAAAAATCGATCGCTCCCATGGCTCCACTTCATGGCCGTAATTATTTCGTGACTGCGAAAAAGCACGGTGGCGCCCTCTACTATAGGTGCTTAGAGGCCTAAACATAGAAATTAGTCTCTTTGCAGGCCCTTGACCCCAGATTTTGATAAGGAAACGCCGGATTTCAACTTTCTGAAAAAGGTAAATTTTGGACCCGCTGTTTTTGCAAAAAAATATTGGCGTAGCGAAAAAATCCATAGGGACACCTTTTATAGGTAATGAATTGCTCTTCATCTTTTGTCTGAACAAAAATGCTCTAAAGATCATATTTCGGCAGATATCGTCGAAAAACGGATTTTCGGGAACTCCAGAGCCATTTTCCCCCTGTTCCACAAATTCCAGGTGGTTGCGATTTTGAGAATTTGATATACACCCGAATACCTGCAAATTAAAAAAAAAATCGTTGCGGCCGGACCAGTTGCCCAGGTTGATATGGTTTTTGGCCTTCATTTACTGGACTATCAAGCGGATAGTTACCCTTAACTTACTTTATCAATTTAGTAAAATAAAATATTCATTCTTCGATGTTGTTCGTTAATTCACTGAATTTTTATTTAATATTAATAGTGTTACCCTTAACTTTTAACACTTAGTCCAGCCACAACAGATGCCAAACTCGGCAAAAAATCAAAGGATTTTGAAATTATATTTATATGACCTTGAACTTTAAATGGGTATCGCATAGGTGTTGCCAATTTTAATT